CAGCCACCGAACAAACGCGCCAAAAACAACAACAACAACAGCAACAATAATAACCACAACAACAACAACAATAATAACCACAACAACAACATATACAATAACAACATTAACTACTCTAATAACAGCAGTAGCAATAACAACAACAATCATAGCATCAGCGCTCACAACAACAACAACAACAATAATAACTACATCAACACTCAAAGCAACAACAATTACAGCATAAACAACATTAATAACGGTATGAATAACGTTACAAATACATCCGTTTCAAACTTTAACAGCGTAAATTACAACAATAACAACAACAATTGTAATAATAACATCAACAATAACAACAATAATGTTAATAATAACAATAATAACATCATCAACAACAATAATAATAACAACAATCACGCTAATAATAATATTCCAAACAGTATTGGCAATAATTTAAATAAAAGTACCAACGCGGGCTCTATTAAGGACAATAACGTCAATAATAATAATAGTAATAATATTAATATTAATAATAACAATAATAGTTTTTCAACTAAAAACACCAACAACACTTATTTTGAAGTTAGCAACGCGGCTTCACAAGCGATTACTTGCACGACGACAACCTACAATAATTATATTCATAGCACTTTCAACAACAATAATAACAATAATACTAATACTAACAATAATCAGTTTAATAATAATAATAATATTCATCCTCAATTCACAACCAACATCAATAATAATAATAACCAATTCAACAGCAACAATAATAACCAATTGAGCAAACAGCCATCAAACTGCGCCAACAACAACAACAACATCGATTTTTCTCCCAACATCTCCAACAAATATAACCATCGCAACAACAACAACAAAAACCGCAAAGCAACAAACAACAACAACAGCAGCAGCAACAACAACAACAATAATAATAATAATAACGATCCTTATGATTTCAACAACGTATCTGAAGACCAGTCCAGCCTCATTATCAAAAAACTTAAAGTTGATAAGGTTTATTTTTAGCATCGTAAATTCAACTACATTTTTTTGATTTCGATTTAATTAATTATTTCATTATAAATTTGTGATCTTACTAACTTGTATGAATTTTATTTTTTTATAATATATTACTAAATTATTTTAATTTTTCACAGCAAATAAATAATTAGTTGAGATTATTCCGTAGTTTGAGCATTGAAATTACTAAAAAGTATTCTTTCAACTGACAATTTGATGAGATATTGTAAGGAAGTAAGTAACTACTGAATTAAACAAAAACGCTTCTACCACCAGTGCGAACGCAGCTGTTCACCAATCGCCACTCCAACCACGACCACTTGGACGTCGACCACCACTGACCACCATTCAGCCCCTCCCACAAACAAATGTGACGTCGAAGTGGACGCCTGTCACATCGGAGTACTCACCGATCCGGATTGCTTGGGGCCGTGCGAGCCCGGAACTAGTGTCACCTTGGAGGGGATCGTTTGGAATGAAACCGAAAATGGTGAATTGTAGTTTCATGTTTATTTGTTTCTACGTGTTTGCTTGTTTTTATGTGTGTTCTTTTTTGTTTTGTTTGTCTGTTTTTGTCTTGCAAAATTTTTTCGTAATTTTTTCATATTTTACGCTTTTGAGTGAAGCTTTCCCAAGTTATACCATTATTTTACTCGATTTGTTTGAAAACTGCGTTTCATTCTTTTGTATGGAGACATGTTGAAAACCAGCATACACTCAACACACATAGGCAAACACACATACGCAAACACACATACGCAAACACACATAAAGGCACACACATGAATAAACACACACGCGCGCGCGCATAACACACATGCACATGTAAAGTAACATAAAACATTAAAGTCTCAAATGATATAGCTCAAGGGATGATTTGTTGGACAAGTAGATAATGGTAGTTGGATGGTTGATTGGTTAGGATTGGATAGTTGATTAGCTGGTTGGTTGTTTGACTGGTTAGTTGGTGGATTGACTGGTTGTTTGGATGGTTGGTTGACAGTTTAGCCGGGATTGTTGGTTCATATTTAATCTGCAAAGCTGACTAGATTTGAACTTTAAACTTTGACCTTTCCACCCCGCCATTCAAACCTTTCTGTCTTATTAAGTCAAGTCTATGGAGAATTTATTCATTCATTCTGTCCTTCTTTCCTCCATCTTGTTCATTCATTCGGTCTGTCATTCGTTTTATTCATCTTTTAATTTTTGTCGTTTTTTTCAAGTATTTCACTCATTCATTCATCCAGTTATTCACACATTCACACATTCATTCATTCATTCATTCATTCATTCATTTATTCATTTAGTTATTCAAACAATCATTTTCCGTTTAGTTATTTCTTTCGATCTGTCCTCAAATTTGTGTGCAAATGGGCTGATATAGATGCTATTTATTGCTTGCAGCATCATTTTGAATAGGACGATGATGACGACGATGACGATGATAATGATGCTGCTACCGCTTTTGATGTTGATAATGATGATGTTAATTGATAGTGACGCCAACGATGCTGGTGATGATGATGAGTGAAATGTTTTTGATGAAAGTTACGATGATGGTTAATGGTTTTATTAATAAAATTGTTTTGTTGTTGGCAATGACGACGACAACGAGGATGATAATGATGATGATGATAAGTAATATAACGTAATTTTTGTTAATGTTGATGATGATGATGGTGTCACCAAGGATGATGATGAAGATTACCATCCCTAACAACAATAACATTAAAAGCAGCAACACAATAATAATAAAAATAATTAAGTCAACAATTATTGTGCCTATTGGAGATGTTTATTCCATAGCAATTATATCTGTCACTTTTTATATAATTAACTTTTATTTATGTATAATAATAATAATGATTATTATGATTACTATTATTATTAAAGTAATTAGTTTATCTATAGTTATAATAATTATTATTATATTTGGTACCGGTTTCTGTCTGATAATT